CCAAGCTGTCATTGAGTAGAGAGTTGTTTAGTTTCTATGTGTATGTAGGTTTTTTGTTATTTCTGTTATTGTTGAGGCTTAGTTTTAGGCCATGGTGGTCTGATATGATACAAGGGATTATTTCGATCTTCTTGTATCTTTTGAGGCTTGCTTTGTGCCTGACTATATTGTCAATTTTTGAGAATGTTCTGTGAGATTCTGAAAAAAAGGTATATTTTGAGTTAGGGTGAAAAGTTCTGTAGACATCTATTAAGTCCATTTGATTTAAGACCTCTGTAAGTGTCATTATTTCCCTAGTTAGCTTAACCTAGAACCCCTGCACAGATGTAGCCCATGGCAGCTCAGTCTCTAAGTGGGTGCCCTAGTAAGCAGAACAGGGACTGTCTCTGACATAAACTCAGTGGCTGGCTCTTTGAATACCTCCCGTTGAGGGAGAAGCAGCCTTACCAGGCCACAGAGGAAGACAATGCTGCCAGTCCTGATGAGACCTGATAGGCTTGTGTCAGATGGAAGGAGAGGAGGACCTCCCCCTATCAGTGGACCTGGGGAGGGGCATGGGAGGAGAAAAGAGAGGGAGGCTGGGAGAGGAGGGATCCGGCTGTGATACAAAGTAAATAAATTGTAATTAATTAAAACATAAATGAATTAAAAAAAAGATAAAATGCTTTCTTTCTTTTATCTTCTTTCTGTCTTTTCTTAGAACTAATAATCTGTTACTCATCAATGACTCAATAGCATGTAAAATAATATAAACACATATTGACTTTTTTCATACTGTTGGGCATAATTGGGTAAATGAAAATATGCATACTTACCCTGGGGTTCCCCTTCCAAGCTCATTCACCCGGAAGTTTACACATACACATGGTTATTTATTTAACCATTGTCTAGGATAGGAATTAAGGAAAAATGAATGTCCAGAAAGTGAATATATATGCTAAATTTAATATGCTTACATATTATAAGTATCCATCAAAGAGTTATATTGAATGAACTAAATATCTAGATAGCAATAAAACTAAATCTTAGAAGATTAAGGAAATTGTAGAATAATACAGTATTTAAATTTCAAGACAGTGCTACTTTAGATATGGATATAAACAAAACCTGTTTATGTGTTTTTTATTATTTTTTTAATTTTTTTTACATTTTGAAAACATTTTGAAATGGTTAAAAAACAAGCAAAAGTAAGGTACCAACAATAAGAGAATTAGTTTCCTTTAAGCCATGTACCTTATTACTCTTAAAACAATGACACTTTAGAATTTCTTCTTGTATCCTCAAAATATTTTTAATAACTTTTAAAATGAGAAGAGATTTTTTAAAGATTTATTTATGTATTATGTATAAAATGTGTGTTTGTATTTACATCTGCATGCCAGATTTCATTTTATATGGTTGTGAGCCACTATGTGGTTACTGAGAATTGAACTAATGACCTCTGGAAGGGCAGCTCTTAACCTCTGAGCCATCTCTCCAGCCCCAAGAAGAGATTTTTGATTAAGCATATTATAAGGAGGACTCTTATACTATAGTAAACACTTCGGTGTAGGACTGTATATGATGGTGTGCATCTGTAAGCCCTGGACTTGAAAGCTTGAAACTAGTGAACCTCAAGTTTCAGGAATTCTAGACTACCTCAGTTACACAGTGAAGCCCTGTCTCAAGAAAACAACAACAAAATAAGCAGGAATCCATACGAGATTGGTTCTAAGATTTCTAGTAGACATCAAACCCTAGTGATACTCAATTTCCCTATTTATAGTCTCTCTATATATAACATACATACATCTCATATAATTTAAATTGCCTCTTGATTACAAGTAATGCCTAACACAGTGTAAGTGCCATATAGTTAGCTTCCTGAATTGTAGAAATAATAACAAGCTGAAAAGTCTGTAAATTACAGGTGGCAGTTCAGTATCCAAGTGGCCTCCATAGTAATGGGGACAGGGACTGTCTCTGACAGAAACTGATTGGCCTGCTCTTTGATCACCTTCCCTGAAGGGGAAGCAGCCTTACCAGGCTACAGAAGAAGACAATGCAGCCACTACTCATGAGACCTGATAGACTAGGATCAGAGGGAAGGGGAGGAGGACCTCCCTTGTCAGTGGACTGGGAGAGAGACAAGGGTGGGGAAGAAGAAGGGTAAGATTGGGAGGGGAGGAGGGAGGAAGGTACAGGAGGGATACAAAGTGAATCAACTGTAATTAATAAAAATAAAAATAATTAAATAAAAAAATATTACAGTTACTATTGCTTCTCTGAATGTCTATGTTTTGTAATTGGTTAAGCCTATAGTCAAACCCTCATAGAGTTCTGTGCCATAGGTAAAATAATGTAGGTATATTTTGTCTGCTGTTTTTTTTTTTTTTGTCAAAAGTCATTTTAATGTCAGATTTGTGTTATTTTACAGAATAATGAATCTAAGCTAATTTAAATCTATGACATACAACTAAGACGGATTATAATGGAGATTTAAGTTGGATCACTCCTTTGCAGTGTTGTATCACTCAGATATATGAACTATATGCTAATCTCACTGTCAGCATTGTTTAGACAACTTCAGTTTTAGGCTTTGATGCAACATTCAGGGAGTTACTCTCTGAAATGGTGTAGTGCCCTCTTGTGACAAAAAATATTTTAAAATTTTATTTACATCCCAAGGGTGCCCCCTCCCATTTCTCCTTCCCCTCCTTTCTTCTTCTACTCTCCCTTTCCTCACAGGAAAGGGGTTGCCCCCTCCCCTGGTGTCAAATCTCCCCATCACATCAAAACTGAGCATATTCTCATCCCCTGTAGCCAGGCAAGGGAGCACTACCAGGGGGAAGTGACCCAAAAGCAGGCAATAGAGTCCATGTTAGAAACAGCACCACCAACAACCCCTACATTCGCCAGGCGCCCCATATGAAAACCAACCTGCCATCGGCCACATATGTGCAGGGGGCCTAGGTCCAGACCATGTGTACTCCTTGACTGATGTCTCAGTCTCTGAAAGCCCCCATGGGACTAGGTTAGACTAAGTCTTGTGAGGTTTCTGTCCCCTCCAAGTCCTTCCAACTTTCCCCTAACACTTCCTGGAGCTCTACCCCATGCTTGCGTGAAACTCCCAGCAGCTTCTTGCTGGCACCTCCCAGAGAACAGTCAAGTTAGGCTCCTCTCTGTAAACATTGCAGAGCATCATTAATAGTGCCATGGGCTGGCTCTTTACTGTGGGATGGGTCTCAGGTTGGGTCAATTATTGGTTGGACATAATCTCAATCTTTATACTCTCTTTATCCCTGTACTTCCTGTAGACAGGGTAATTTTTGGATCAAAGTTTTTATCGGTGGGTTGTTGTTCCCCACCTTCCATTAGTCATTCCTGGCTAGGAGGTGGTCACTTCAGTCTTCATTCCTCCGTTAAGAGTCTCAGCTAGAGACACACCCATAGCCTCCCAGGAACCTACCCTGTTGCAGACCCCCAGCTTGACAAAAAGATGTTCCCTCTCAGTTTCCCTTCTTGTTCCCAGCCTTCTCACCTCCTGCCTCATTCTCCCCACATCTGATCTCTCCCTATTTTTTCTCTCCCTATTTCATCTCCTGCCCAGTTCCCTCCCTTCATCCACTTCTCCTGTCTATTCTATTTCCTCTTCTGGAAGACATTCTGACCCCCTCCTTTTGTCCCTCCTTGTTACTTAGCTCTTTTGGGTCTCTGCATTGTAGTATGGTTATCTTGTACTATAGGTCTAATAACCGTATATAAGTGAGTACATACCATGTGCTTCTTTCTGGGCCTAGATTACCTTACTCAGGGTGATCTTTTCTAGTTCCATCCATTTTCCTACAAATGTACCACAATTTTTGTATCAATTATTCAGTTGAGGGACATCTAGATTGTTTCTAGTTTCTGGCTATTACAAAAAAATGTTTCAATGAGTTGAGCAAATGTCAACTTCAATAGTTGAGCAAATGTCCTTATTGAAGTGTGGGGCATCTTTCAGGTATATGCCCAGGAGTGGTATAGCTGGATCTTAAGGTAGTACTATTCCCAATTTTCTGTGAAAGCTCCAGATTTCATTTCCAAAGAGGTTGTACAAGTTTGCACTCCCACCAGCAATGGAGGGCTGTTCCCCTTTCTCCACATCCTTGCCAACATGTGTTGTCACTAGAGTTTTTGATCTTAGCCATTCTGACTAGTGTAATATGGAATCTTAGAGACATTTTGATTTGCATTTCTCTGATGACTAAGGATGTTGAGCATTTCTTTAAGTGCTTCTCAGCCATTCATGATTCCCCTGTTGTGATTTCTCTGTACCCTATTTTTAATTGTATTATTTGATTTGTTGATGTTTAATTTCTGAAGTTCTTTGTGTATTTTAGATATTAGCCCTCTGTCTGACATAGGGTTGATGAAGATCTTTTCCCAGTCCTTAAGCTGCCATTTTGTTCTATTGACAGTGTCCTTTGACTTACAAAAGCCTCTCAGTTTCATAAGATCCCATTTATTGATTTTTTTTATCTCAGATCCTGTGCTGTTGGTGTCTTGTTCAGGAAGTTTTGTCCTATTCCAATGAATTCCAGACTTTTCCCCACTTTGTCTTCGAATAGCTAAGGTCTTTGATCCACTTGGACTTGAATTTTGTTTAGAGTGATAAATATGGGTCTATTTTTTTAAAGATTTGTTTTAAAAGTTTTGCAAGGAGTTTTTGTTTGGTTGGTTTGGAGTTTTGTTTTGTTGTTTGCTTTATTTTCCAAAAGATTGGCTTTACTTTCAATTATGTAGTGGTCAGAAGACTTTGTACTAGTGACAAAATGTGCCTGTGGAGGACAGAGATTTTATTTATCTGCCAGATTTTGGAGTTAAAGGAAGTTGTGAGCCTCTGGACATGGTTACTAAGAATTGAACTGCGGAGCCCTCTCTGAAGCCCTTATTTTAAACATTATAGATTAGTTTCCCAAGCCAAACCAAACCCCAAAACCTAATCCTATAAAGTATGAATTAATATTTTCTTGTTTTAGAACCAAGTGGATATGCTGCTGCAAGAAATGGCAGATGAAGCTGGGTAAGGTGTTGCTACTCAAGTCCGTTTTTTTTGTTTGTTTGTTTGTTTCTCTTCTCTTTTTTGTAAATTATCATTTTTTAATTTTTTATATTAATTATGATTTATTCGCTTATATCCCAGCTATAGCTCCCTCCCTTATTCCGTCCCAATCCTACCCTCCCTACCTCTTCTCCTCCCATGCTGCTCTCCAAGTCCACTGGTAGGGGAGGTCCTCCTTCCCTTCCATCTGACCCTAGTTTATCAGGCCTCATCAGAACTGGCAGCATTGTCCTCTTCTGTGGCCTGGCAAGGTTGTTTTACCCCTCAGGGGGAGGTGGTCAAAGAGCCAGCCACAGAGTTCATGTCAGAGATAGTCCCTGTTCCCATTACTAGGGAACTCACTTGGATACTGAGCTGCCATTTGCTACATCTGAGCAGGGGTTCTAGGTAATAGCCATGAATGGTCCTTGGTTGGAGTATCATACTCAGAAAAGACCCCTGGGCCCAGATATTTTGGTACTGTTGCTCTCCTTGTGGAGCCCCTGTCCTCTCCAGGTCTTATGAACTCCCCCTTCTTTCATAAGATTCCCTGCACTCTGCCCAAAGTTTGGTTATGTGTCTCAGCATCTGCCTTGAAACACTGTTGAGTAGTCTTTCAGAGGCCCTTTGTGGTAGGCTCCTGTCCTGTTTCCTGTTTTCTCCTTCTTCCAATGTCCATCCTGTTTTTCTTTTGGGTGGGGATTGATTGTCCTACCCAGGGTCCTCCTTCTTGCTTGGTTTCTTTAAGGTGTACAGATTTGTGTAGGTTTATCCTATATTATATGTCTAGTATCCACTTATAAGTGAATATATACCGTGTGTGTCATCTTTTTGCTACTGGGATACCTCACTCAAGTCCTTTTAAATAATCTTAATTTGATATTTAGATGTCTTAAATGTTTGGTGATATGAGGTTAGAGTGTTGCTAAGAGTTTTTGCCTAGCATATGTAAGGCCCTGTACAGAAGCATAAGCACCACTAAAAACTTGCTATGGATTAAAAAAATTTGTCTTCTCAAGGTATCAAAGCAGATGCTGAGACTCATATCCAAACTTTGGGCAGTGTGCAGGGAATATTATGAGAGAAGGGGGAGATAGAAAAACCTGGAGGAGACAGGAGCTCCAAAAGGAGACCAACAAAGACAAAAAAAAACCTGAGCCCTGGGGTCCCTGGAAAGAATGATACTCCAACCAAGGACAATGCATGGAGAGGGCCTAAGATACCTGCTCAGATGTAGCCCGTAGATTCAGTCTCCAAGTGTGCTGCCTAGTATGGGGAGCAGGAGCTTTGTCTGGCATAAACTAAGTAGCAGGCTTTCTGATCACCTCCGCCTGGAGGATGCAGCCTTGCCAGGCCACAGAAGAAGACAGTTACAAGAAGTCCTGATGAGACCTGATAGACTAGGGTCAAATAGAAGGGGAAGGGACAGAGGACAGGATTGGGAGGAGATGAGGAAGAGATCCACAGCCAGGATACAAATTGAATAAAATGTAAAAAAAATAATAATAATAAATTTGTCTTCAAGCTGAGAGTGGGGACACACCCCTATAATCCCAGCTCTCAGGGAAGCAGAGGCAGACAGGTCTTTGTGAGTTCAAGACCAGCCTGGTCTACAAAGTGAGTCCAGGACAATCAAGGCTACATAGAGAAATCCTGTTTCCAAACACCAAAAGCCAAAAAAAAAAAAAAGTCTTTAAAACCATTATTCCAACTTGGGGTTTTGACTCTTTACAGAGTTAGTGCTTCAAAGGCTTTTAACAGTTACCCTCTTTTAGCCATTAAAATATGTCTTTTCAAACCATAGTAGGTTTTTCTTTAAAATATGTGGAGATATATTCATTCCAAGTGTGATATGAAGAAATGGCTGGAGATGGTCAAGGGTAAGAATGTTCAAACATTTGCTTAATCTCTATTATACATAACTTACATATATCAATGTATAGATAGTTTCTAAAGCTTTTGGGAAAAAATATCAATGATCAGGCATAAATCCAGTGTGATTCCTATAAACTGAGTACTTTGTGTAAAATGTTCAAAGGACAAAAAATAAAAAAAAAATGACACGTAACAGCTGGTTATTTTTTTTTCTTAAGTAATCAGTACCCCTTTGCATATAGTTATTGAAATGTCTTATGGAGTCTTCAAATCTTTCGTATTTGGGGGAATAACTTGACCATGATATCTGTGTTACAGACATCATGCTTTATCAGTGTTCTCTGTAGTAATATTTAAATCAGTAACAGTAGTAAACAATAAAATGTTTAGAATTGAATCATAATACTTTAGGCTCTTCCTTCAAACCTAGATTAATAAGGTGAAATAAAGTTTATATATTCTCCCTATTTTTTCTTGAAGAAATAGAGTATTGAGCAATAATTAAGAAAATAGAGTTGAGAAACAATGCTCTATGGTCTAAAATAACTCGTGACTAGAATGAACAATGATTGATATTAATCAGCTTTTTAAAATAGTACTGTATTACTAGTAAATTAAATCCATGTTAATAAATGCTAAATGAGGTTTGCAGTGTTTGAGAACAAGGCTTGGAGGATAGGTTGTATACCATTTTGCTCCATTAGTATTGTGACAGGCCCACAGGCCAGCACAGAGAGATAATTGTAAAGGGTGATTTGATCATAAACTCGAGCATTATTTGTTATAAGACTCTATCTTAGTAATAAAAGAGTAAAAACTTGTTTTTGTTTTTCCTAAAGATTAAGTGAGAGTACTTGTACTTAAAAAGATAGTGCTAGAGAGCCCAGAAGAGTTGCACACACCTTTAATCTCAGCACTCAGGGAAGCAGAGGCAGATGGATCTCTGTGAGTTCAAGACCAGCCTGGTTTACAAAGGACAGCCAAGGCTACACAGAGGAATCTTTTCTCAAAAAACAAAAGATGGTAATAGAGATCTTATAAAATGAACATTATCAAATATTATAGCCTTACCTCAATCAGAGTTAAATAAAGATTAGTAGGCAACTTTTCATAAGGCTATAACACGATTTCCTAACTTTTGCAGTGCTGACATCTTAGAGTAAAGAACCAAAGGTCTTAAGCACTGAATGTTTAGCAGCAAGCTGGCATCTACCCACTAAAAGTCAGTAGCACAGTTTCTCTCAGTTGTGTCATCTATATCCTTCTCTAGATATTGGTAGCTATTCTTTGGGAAAATGAGACCAGTATTGAGAAATTAGCTAACTCAGTATCTGAAGAAAAAGAAGCAGGTAGAACCACTGATATATAAATATTAATATTGACTATAAGGACTCTTAGGTATCCAGTTGTTTGAATTAACAATTTTCATAATAAAATTTTAGTATAGTATGTTTGTCTTTCTTTAAAAAAAAAAGCAACCCATAATGCTTTTTTAAATTACTGTTTTACTTGTAGCACTTTCACATTAGAATACACTATTTTAAAGACAAACAGAAAAAAATTTATATCCTAAAGGAATAGTGCAATAACGATTAGATTAAGGTCATGGATCCTGGAGGTAAACAAAGAAAAAACCTAGATCTATGTATATGCTATCTCTTTTACTGGGGTGCTGTGAACTTGGACAGCTGTCTAAACCTTTTGAAACCCTAGTTGTGTAGTTAGATAAAATTCTTGGTTCCTCAAGGCCCTCTGAATCAACTGAGCAAAGCTCATATGAGCTCACAGAGACTGAAGCAGCAAGAATGGAGCCTATACAGTCTGCACCAAGTCCTCTGCATATGTATTATAGCTTTCAGTATATGAACAAGTATGAACTAGTGAGTCTCTGATTCTTGTGCCTGCTCTTGATGCTTTTTTCCTTCTGTTGGCTTACCTTGTCCAACCTCCATGTGATAGTTCATGCTTTATTTTAGTTTATTTTGTTATGTTTTGTAGTTACCTCTTAGAAGCATGTTCTTTTCTAGTGAGAGACAGAAAGGTAGTTGATCCATAAGGGAGGGGAGGTAGGAAGAAGTAGTAGGAGTAGAGGGAGAGGAAACTCTAATCAAGACACATTGTATGAGAAAAGAATCTATTTTCAATGAATAGAAAATTATACTTTAGATTCTAAAATGATAAAATTATCTAAATAAAATGAAAAAACTCTTAAAAGGTTAATAAAAAACAAAATTTTGGTTCCTACTAAGAAATTTCAGGAACTGAACACTAAAATGGAAATTAACACAAATATTAGATCTGAGCCCTAAAGCTTCATTTATATAGACTGTGCTGATTTTTTTTAACAGTTTCTTAAGTTTTTTCATAGTAAAGAAGACAAAGAATATCCTGGAAATATAGTACAATAAATGATCCTTACTTTGATCTTTTATTTGTCAGTCTTTAGCTTTTCTATTCAATATTTTACCATCTGTGCAGATCATTATTTGAACTCAAGAAAAATACTTAAAAATCATCAGTCATGTATCCAAGATCATTTTAAAACATTCATGTTCAATTTACATGTAAATATGGTTTTATTTTTACTGAAAGTGATAAAACAGCTGGGTGCGGTGGCACACACCTATAATCCCAGCACTTGTGGAAGCAGAGGCAGACAGATCTGTGTTCGAGGCCAACCTGGTCTGCAAAACGAGTCCAGGACAGCCAAGGCTACACAGAGAAACCCTATCTTGAAAAAATAAAAAAAAGTGATAAGAGGATTTAGTGCTCAAGTTTGCAGTGTCTATTTGATTATTATAAAATGTCTATATTAACATTCATTTATTCTGATTACTTTTTAAATTTATCTTTAGGCTTGATCTCAATATGGAGCTCCCCCAGGGTCAAACAGGCTCAGTTGGTGCAAGTGTTGCTTCTACAGAGCAGGTAGAAGTTGAATTTTATTTTGATTCATGAACCTGATTTATATATTAATAATTTAGGGAATATATATTTTATGTGAAACATGTATATATTCACATACAAGAAAACATGTACCTATTTTTCTAACATTCACCTTTTATAAAGAGTATTTTTTTCTACTATGATATTCATCATAAATGAACAAAGTATGAGCAGCCATTACCTCTGTAATGGTAGGTGTTTTCAATTTGAATACACATTTCATTTTTTATATTGTTTTGTTAACCTTCATAGCTGATGCTCTAAAAAACCAATGCCTAATGTTTACGTGAATTTTATAAGTAAGACTTTAAATTGTATTTAGAATATAAGGGGATTAAAATTGTTAGTGGTGTATTTTTGTTACAGCCTTTGCTAATTGGTACCTTTGGCTTCGTCTAGGATGAACTGTCACAGAGGCTTGCTCGTCTTCGTGATCAAGTGTAACTTAAGTGACTGGTGCTTCTGTTTCTTCCATGTGTTTCTGAAACATCATTTGTGTGTGTTGACATAGATAAATTACACTCCAGTTACAAAAATACCATACATGCCGGAATGTTTGAACATTATTTATACATGATGTGTTCTTTTGCCTTGTGTATTTCACAGTACATTAAGAAATTCCAAGGAATTTCCACATTGGAAGATTTTATAGTTCTGTATATTATGTGTAAAAGTGTCAGGGTCATATTTTTGTAGATGTCTTTAACAAAGCCAGCATTAGTTTTATATATATTATGCATATTCCTCAAACATTAGAACAAACATCTAGCATGGAAGTACTACTTAAGTAAAGTAATTTTGTCAGAATAATGTGTAGAATAAAGGCTTTGCCTGTTGTTTTTTTTTTTTTTTTTTTTTTTTTTTTGAAAATAGTTTTTTTTTTTTTTTTTTTTTTTTTTTTTTTTTTTTTAGTTGGAAGTAATTTTCAGTTTTTATCTGTGATGAAATTTGATTTTGTAAAAATGAAAACACAGAAAGCATGTTTATTTAGTGTTTTCATAGCCCAGACATCTTATTTTAATAGTATCACAAAATACACTGTATTGTTTTCTATGGGATTTTTGAAAAAAAAAATTTTTATTTTGAATATGTGGCTGTTTTGTCCGCTTGTATATTATTTATTACTTGTGTGTCTCTGGTACTGACAGAGACCAGAGTAAGACACTGGATCCCCTGGAAATTACAGACAGTTGTGAACAAACAAGTGGATGCTGCTGGGATTCAACCCTATTTCTTCTAGAAGAGCGGCCAGTTCTCTGAATTCTGCCATGTGTTCAGCCCCTGTTTTATGTTGTTATTTTTTTATTTTGTTTTTTGCTTGTTTATTTTAGAGACAGGGCAGGAATATATAGCCCAGAGTAGCCTGAAACTCAGTGAGTCTCCAGACTTGGTCTCTAGGTGTATGCCACCACACTCAGATCATTTTCTATAATTAATGAGGATTTTTTTTTTGTTATGTGCATTAGTTATTTTTCTTTTTCTGTGATAAACAACAACAACAACAAAAATATCCAGAAGTGGCATATGGAAGAAAGAAGTTATTTTAGTTTATGGTTCCAGAGTGATAAGGTTCCATCATGTTAGGTAAATGTGGCTGCAAGAGCAGGTACCTGAGCTGTCACATGTTCTGTAGCAAACACAAAGCAGAGGGAAGAAACTTAAAGAGGTACAGGGCTATAAGCTCTCAAAGCCTGCCCCAGTGACATACTTTGTTTCATAAAGCTCCATATCCCTAAAATTTCCCCCAAACATCATCACCAGCTGGGAAACAATTATGCAGAGGCATGAGCCTATGGACCATATTTCTCATTCAGACCATCACATTCCTCTCCCTGTCTTTTATAGGCTCATGGCCTAGTAAATGTAGCCACCCCAACGATAAAATCTAAAAGCAAATAACATGCAATAGCACAGAATAGACCTTATCATTTTAAAAGGGATGAATGGGGCCATAATGAGGAAATGCTGGACTACAGAAAGACTAAAAGCTTGCAGGGCAAACAAATAAGCAAATCCTGTAGCTCCATGTTAGATGTCTGAAACTTTACACTCAAAGGGCCTGGCTGGCTTAACCCCAGCAGCTTTGCTACCTGAAGCAGCAGCCCACCTTCTGGTATGAACTTATATTAGTTACTTTCCTGTTGCTGTGATTTAAACACCATGGCCAGAGCCAATTTATATATGAAAGAGTTTATTTGGGCTCATAGTCCAGAGGGATAAGAAAGAGTCCATCATGGCATGGAGGCATGACAGCAGGAGCAGGAAGCTGAAAGATTGCATCTTCCATGGCAGACATGAAGCAGAGAGAGCAACCTAGAAGTAAGGCTAGGCTGTACATTCTCAGTGCTTCTTGCTTGTGACATAATTCCTCCATCAAAATTGCACAATAACCTTCCCAAAGAACAGCACAAACCAGTGATCAACGTTTCAGATATGTAAGCCTACTATGGCAGATATTTCTCATTCAAACTACCATAGTATGTATGGAGGAACACAGTAACTATTTACTCTGTTTTCATCAGTTGTTAAGTTTAAATTTTTACAATTTTATTCAATAATTTAATGCTGACTGTTCATTAATTTTTAAGGCCTTTTCATTGGCAATCTGTTTTATAGGTAGGAAAATTCTGCAACATTAATTCAAAGAAATTAAGATTTGTTTCTTTTTTAAATTTTCTTTTGCAATATATTATTGTTTCAGTTCCCAGAAAACTCTTTTTTATGGTGTCTCCTAGGTAATGGCCAGGTCATGATGAAGCTGAATATCTCCTTCCTAGGCACCAGCTGTCAAAAATTCGTGGAAGTAGAAAATGAACACAAACATGGTACTTTCTCTGAGACTTGCATGCCCAAAAGTGTAGCTGCTGGTGCTCTGGGTTATATAGTCTAGATAAATGGTGGGAATGGCAAACAAGGTTTTGTTTTCCAATGAAGCAAGGTATCTTGACGATGCCAGTGTTTTCCTGCTGTTGCATAAAGGTCATTCTTGTTATAGGCCAAAGAGAACTGGAAAAAGAAAGCACAAGTCTGTTCATGGGTGCATTGTGGGTCCAATATGAGTGTTCTCAATGTAGTTGTGAAATAAGGAGAGAAGCATATTCCTGGATTGACACTGTGCCCCAGCAATTAGGGTCTCAAAGAGCTGGCGGATCAAAAGGCTCTAAACAACATGGTATCTGAGAAAGAAGCTGAGGGTCAAAGCACCCAAGGTTTAGTATCATGTTACTCACATGTACTGCATCACAGACTCCATTGCATTGCTCTGAAGAAACAATGCACTAAGAAAAATGAGGAAGCTACACAGTATTATAAACTTGTGGCCAAGAGAATGAAGGAAGCCAGGAAAAAAAAAATGCCAGAAACAGGTTGTCAAGATGTGGAGGCTATCCTTGCTGAGAGCTTCACCTTGTATTTCTGAGTACAATCGAAATAAGTCTTCATGAGTCACATAAATGTTCACACCTTGAAAGAAAAAGATTCTTAGAAAAATGGCTTTTTATACATTCATATGAAATTTTTAACATATTTAATGGTTCATTTATTTATGTCTAATTTTTGTTATGATATATTAAAAAAGGCCAGTTAACATTATATTAATGTCACAGTTGTACATGTGATTATTAATTCATTTCCCAGAATCATTTTTTAAGACAGTACCTTTAATAACAAAATAATAAGTAGAGGTAAATAAAATAAAGTGTTTTGTCTAGTCATACAAGCACCCTCCATCCCAGTGAAAGTTGGGAGAATAAGATAGAGTCAAGGTCCACCAGAGACAGCATTGTACAAAATACAGACTAATAAACCAAAGCCCTAAGAAAACACCTCTGATCATTTGCTGTACTACTTGTAATATTCTCAGGAATATTTATATTTGACCAAGTAAAAGTAAACACTTTAGCACTTGTCTGCATTTTTCATGTTAAAGTTTCAATTGTAAGAAAGTGAAGAGATTATTTTTTAGCAAGTATGCTGCTAATCTATGGTAAGACCAATCCAAGAAAGAATTCTAGCATATCTTGAAGTTCAATTGAAATATGACACTCTGTGTTTTCTCCCCAGTAGTCCAAATTTTATTTTCCTTACAAGTCTTAAAGGTATTCAAAATGAGAATACTTTTTCACTAAATCACTACATACTCAACTACTTATATATGATATCTCTTATGCATAGGAGTGTATATAAGTGAAGATTCTATTGCTACTAAGTGAAGAACATTTGTTCTGAACGTTGACTACACATTACAGTTGGAAAGCTTAAAAATTCTGTCTCTCTATCCCTGAGTGTGTGTGTGTGTGTGGGGGGGTGTGTCAGGGGTGATCATTTGGTACTGGATAACTAATTGGTGAGCTCTTCCCTAGGGAAGTCTATTTTCCTGCTCTCAGCATTTATTTGCCTATAGTTTCAATTAATGAAAAAAAGAAGTCACAAATTTGAAAGAGTGTAAGGAGGAATATATAGGAGGGTTTGGAGGGAGGAAAGGGAAATAGTGTGATTATATTTGTAACCTATAAAACAATTTAAAACAAAATCCTGAATTGAAATTATACTAATTAACTACAGTTTTCTGGGGTAACTCCTCTAGATACTGTTCTACCCCTTTCATTTCAAAGAAGAGTATCTATGGCAATGATTCCAGCTTCATTGGTTTTAGGGACCTAGTAGAGATGAGGATGCTAGAAGACAATTGTATACTATATGTTAACAATATTGCTTTTTTTTTTTTTACTTTTTCAAATTTTTTATTTTTATTTTTTATATTATTTATAATTTATTCACTTTGTATCCCTCATTCTCTCCCGATCCCCATCCACCCTCTCTCATTTCCTCCTTGCCCCTCTGTAAGTCCACTGATAGGGCAGGTCCTCCTCCCCTTCCATCTGACCCTAGTTTATCAGGTCTCATCATGGCTAGATGCATTGTCTTCCTCTGTGGCCTAGCAAGGCTGCTCCTCCCTTGAGGGTGGGGGTCAAAGAGCCAGCCCTGAGTTCATGTCAGAGACAGTCCCTATTCCCCTTACTAGGGTACCCACTCGGATACTGAGCTGCCATGGACTACGTCTGAGCAGGGGTTCGAGGGTACATCCATGCATGGTCCTTGGTTGGAAAATCTGTCTCAGAAAAGATCCCTGGGCCCAGATATATTTGGTCCTTGTGGAGCTCCTGTCCTCTCCAGGTCATATTAACTCCCCCTTCTTTCATATGATTCCCTGCACTCTGCCCAAGGTTTGGTTATGAGTCTCAGCCTATGTTTTGATACACTGCTAAGTAGAGTCTTTCAGAGGCCCTCTATGGTAGACTCCTGTCCTGTTTCTTATCTGCATGTCCAACGTATTTTTTTTTAACTTATATGCTCCTTCTATTCTTACCTTTTATTCCCAAAGGCAATCTTGCATTTAGTTGCAATATGTGACATGTTTGTTGTATGTAATACTTTAAAACCATGGAGTTTGTCACTTTCATGATAACAAGTGTGCTGGATGGTTTTATGTCATTTTTGCATGAGTTAAAGTCATCTGAGAGGAGGGAATATCAATTTAAAAGATATCTCTGTACCATCAAGTTGTAGGCAGGCCTGTAAGGCATTTTCTTAATTAGTGGTTGATGGAGGAGGGCCCAGCCCACTATAGTCCTGGATTCTATAAGAAAGCAGGCTGAGCAAGAAATGAGGATCAAGCCAGTAAGCAGCACCCCTCCATGGCCCCTAGATCAACTCCTGCCTCCAAGTTCCTGCCCTGTTTGAGTTGCTGTCCTGACTTCTTTCTATGATGAACAATGGTATGGAAATGTAAGCCAAA